ATACAAAAAAAATGAATCGAAGTTGGTTTTTTGAAAGAATAAATAAAATTGATAAACCCTTAGCAAACCTTATCAAAAAAGGAAAGAAAAGGCTCAGATCCATGAAATCAGAAATGAAAAAGGTGAAGTCACAACAGATCTAACAGAAATCTAGAGGATCAATACTGCTACTTTGAGAAGTTGTACTCTAATAACATGGAAAACACAGAAGAAATGGACAGATTTCTAGATACTTATAAATTACCAACGTTGAACGAATAAGATAAAAACATTTTAAACACCCCAATTATAATCAGTGAAATTGAAAATGTAATGAAAAACTTACCAACAAAGAAAAGCCCAGGTCCAGATGGACTCACTGCTGAATTTTATAAGACATTTAGAGAAGAACTATTGCCACTACTGTTTAAACTTTTCAATGATATTGAAAGGGAAGCAATACTTCCAAATTCATGCCTGGAAGCAAATATCACTTTGATTCCCAAACTAGGGAAAGATGTAACTAAAAAAGAGAACTACAGGCCAATCTCCTTAATGAACATAGATGCAAAAATCCTTAACAAGATATTAGCAAACAGAATACAGAGGATCATCAAGAAGTTCATACATCCTGAACAAGTCAGATTTATTCCAGAGATGCAAGGATGGTTCAACATACATAAATCAATAAATGTAATACACTATATTAACAAAGTCAAGAACAAAAACCACATGGTCCTCTCAATAGATGCAGAAAAAGCATTTGACAAAATTCAACACACATTCATGATAAAAACCCTGCAAAAAATTGGAATAGATGGTTTATATCTCAACTTAATAAAGCCTATGAAAAACCAACAGCCAACATCATATTAAATGGCCAAAAACTGAAAACCTTCAAGTTAAAATCAGGAACAAGTTACAAGATCCCAACAATGAATGTAACTGTACTGTATCCCTAAAATGTACCAATAAACTCAATTAAAGCTGAAAAAAAAAATCAGGAACTAGACAAGGATGCCCACTATCACCACTCCTCTTCGATATAGTTGTGGAAACATTGGCCATAGTAATTAGACAAGAAAAAGAAATTAAAGCAATAAAGATAGGAAAGGAAGAAGTTAAACTGTCATTATTTGCTGACGATATGATAATCTACATTGAAGACCCAAAAACTCCACCAAAAGACTTCTAGACTTAATTGACACTTTTAGCAGAGTAGCAGGATACAAGGTCAACACACAAAAATCAATAGCCTTCTTATACACAAACAACAGACTCACTGAGAGAGAAATTAGGGAAGCAATTACTTTCACAATAGCATCCCAAAAAATGAAGTATCTGGGAATCAACCTAACAAAAGAAACAAAAGACCTCTACACTGAAAACTACAGTACTCTGAAAAAAAGAGATTGAAGAGGATATAAAAAAATGGAAAGGCATCCCCTGCTCCTGGGTAGGAAGAATCAACATAGTGAAAATGGCCATACTACCAAAATTGCTATACAGATTCAATGCAATGCCAATTGAAATTCCAACACTGTGCTTCACAGAACTAGAAAGAAGAATCCAAAAATTCATTTGGAACCATAAGAGACCTAGAATAGCAAAAGCCATCCTAGGCAACAGACACGTGGCAGCAGGAATTACAATTCCCAATTTGAAACTATACTACAAAGCCACTGTGATAAAAACAGCATGGTATTGGCAAAGAAACAGACCTGAGGATCAGTGGAACAGATTGGAAGACACAAAAACAATTCTCGATGCACTCAGCTACCTCATTTTTAACAAAGGAGCTGACCATTCTCAGTGGAGGAAAGAAAGCCTCTTCGATAAATGGTGTTGGAAAAACTGGATTTCAACCTGCCAAAGATTAAAATTGGACCCTTATCTTTCACCATGCACTAAATTAAAATGCAAGTGGATTAAAGATCTAAATATTAAAACAGAAACACTAAACTTGCTGGAAGATATGTTAGGCAGAACTCTGGAAGACATTGGTATAGGAAAAGACTTTATGAACAAATCCTCAGTAGCACAGGAACTAGCAGAAAGAATCAACAACTGGGATCTCATCTTACTAAAAATCTTCTGTACTTCAAAAGAAACCATTAGCAGAACTAAGAGACAATCTACAATGTGGGAAAAAATTTTTACCAGCTGTACCTCAGACAAAGGACTATTATCAAGGATATATAAAGAACTCAAAACAATCAGTCCCCCCAAATATAAAGACCCGATCCAAAAATGGGCATCCGAAATGAACAGACATTTCTCATACAAAGAAGTGAAAGCAGCAAGAAAATATATGAAAAAATGTTCCACATCACTGGTCATTCGAGAGATGCAGATGAAAACAACACTGAGATTCCACCTCACCCCACAAAGAATGGCTGCTATCAAGAAATCACACAACAACAAATGTTGGTGTGATTGTGGGGAGAAAGGAACCCTTCTCCATTGTTGGTGGGAGTGCAGACTGGTGCAACCACTATGGAAGTCAATATGGAGATACCTCAAAGAACTAGGACTAGAGGTTCCATTTGACCCAGCCATCCCTCTGCTGGGTATCTTTCCAAAAGAATTAAAAGAATCATACCACAGTGATATATGCGCACCCATGTTTATAGTGGCACAGTTTGTAATAGCTAAAACTTGGAAACAGCCCATCTGCCCATCAGTTGAAAACTGGATAAAGAAGATGTGGTATTTCTATAAAATGGAATACTACTCAGCCATAAAGAATGAGAAAGTAGATTCATTCATAGGAAAATGGATACATATTGAGGATATACTCCTAAGTGAAATACATAAGTCACACATATGCAAAAACCGAATAGTTTCTCCGGTGTGAAAAATTAAAATAGTGCTCAAGATCCTAATGTGGTAATTAGCTATGTGAAATAGGAAGAAAAGGACTAAAGATGTAGGGATAGTGAGAAGGGTAGGGGGAAGGGGAATAAGGGAAAGGGAAAAAATGTGAGAAAATGTAAAAATGGAATTAAAGTGTTTGTAGGCGGGGATGTGAGGAGGGGGTGAATGGAGGGTGGGGAGAAGGGGAAAAATGAGAACCAAGACCTGTCATGTAAAGGTACAAGAGCCCAGTAATGAATGTAA